ATGCATATTATACGTGTTAATGAAATAGGTGCTTTGTGATTGAAGTTTCTTGGTTATCCTTGTTGCTTTGTGATTTAATGTACATCTAGGTCCATGGTGATCCATGTTGCTTTGTGATTGAAGTTGATCCGTTTACTGAAAGGGGAATTTCCCCAGGCAATTTTATGAAGACAAATAAGAGCAAAACCATACAAAGAGTAATCAGCAAGAAAAGCCACGACAACTTTGGCTTACAAACCAAGCCATAAGAAGCCAAAAAAGACAAAGAGAAATGCACCAAAAAGTAAAAATAAAGCAAGCCAAAAATAAAAGGAGCAAATCCCCACCATCTTCCATAACCGAAAGCCTTCATCATACACTTTATCACGCATCATTGATTCTTATGAATTTCTTCCTTGTCTTCCACACCATTCTTTGAAGAATCTGAATCTTGATCTCCGCCACAACTTTTTCGCCAGCTTGATTGTAATCGTCAAAGATTTTTCTGTTCCTTTCCCGCCATATGTGGTATACCGTAGCCGATATACCAAGTTTTTGTACCGTAGACCATGATTTCCACCTTTGAGATAAACCCCTGTTAAGAATGTCCTCCCATTTGTTCGGACAATTCGTTATCCCAACTTCCTTTTTAATAACCTCCCATATAATACTCGAGTAGTTGCAATCAAAAAATAAGTGATTGTGCGTTTCAATCACTAAATTACAGAAAACACATTTCAGATCCGGAGGTTCATGCTTCCACTGACTAATGCGATCTTGTGTTGGTAATCTGTTCTGACAAGCCATCCACATACACAGAGCATGTTTAGGTATGTATGCTTTATTCCACACCACCTTGTACCAATGCACAATCGACCCCGCTTCTTGTAATGTGCGCCATGCCACTTTTACTTCAAATTGTTTCCGAGTATGTTTAGCATCAAGCCAATTGACCGTATCCTCAATTTGACTGGGAAGTGGTATCATAACACTTTGCAGTTGGGGATTATTGTAGCCATTCCACCGGCCAAGTAGTACCAAACCGTTGCATTAGATCATACACCGTAGAGTTATTATGAAAACCATGACCATTAATGAATCTGTAAGAGAGCAACTGAATAAGGGGACCCGACTCACTCCACGTGTCTTCCCAAGCGTGAGTAGATAAACCATTACCCACATTGTAGATAAAAAACCCGTCTGCAATGAGGTCTTAACTCCAAAAGGTTCTGGAGAAGCCACGACCATTCATTCCTCTTCTTGATTATCCAAAAATTTCTGCCTCGAATACAATGAGACTGAATCCAGGAGACCCACATAGTATTTCTTCGAGTAAGAATATCCCAAATATGTTTAAAAAGTAAGCATCGATTCCATATCGCTAGTCTTTTCAAACCAAGACCACCATTCTGTATAGGTAAGCAGATCCTATCCCAAGAAACTCGACATTTTCCCATTTCACCCTCCGTTTTATTCCATACGAAATTACGGAACAGCTGTTCAATCTCATGAATAATGGTTGCCGGTACAAGAAATACCGACATCCAATAGGTTTGCATAGAGTGAAGCACAGAGATGATGAGCTGTCGTCTTCCCCCATAAGAAAGAAATTTGTTTTTCCAATTCATTAAACGAGATTTTAGTTTAAGCACAAGAGGGTTGAAATCACGCACCTTCAAATGAACTGGAGAGAGAGGAACTCCCAGGTAGCGAATAGGAAAAACCCCCAGACGAAAAGGAAGACAGTTGCGAATGATATTCTGGACATCCAACCCCACATTCCCGAAAAACACTTCACTTTTTTCAAGACTTGGAGACAGACCCGAACGTTCCTCAAACAATTGGAGAGCTCGTTTTATCACTTCAACTGAAGTAGCATTCCCCTGAGAAAATATAAACAGATCATCCGCAAAACATATATGGGTCAACTTTATCTCAGCACATCCTTGATGGTATGCAAAATTAACCTCCTCCTCAATACATTTTGTTAGAATCAACGATAAACCTTCCATAACCACCATGAACAAGTAAGGGGACAACGGATCCCCTTGTCTAATACCCCGCTTACCATGAAAAAACCCTCCGGCTGTCCATTAACACATATAGAGAAAGTAGGCGATGTGATTAGAGACTTTATCCAATTAAGCATAACTGGATGAAATCCCATCCCCTTTAGCATCCCCAGAAGATACTGCCAGTCAATTGTATCATAGGCTTTCTGAATATCAATCTTAAAAGCACACTTTGGCTCCCCCTGAGATTTTTGATAACCTGCTACATGCTCATGCGCCATTAGAATATTATCAGTTATCTGTCGTCCAGGAATAAATGCAGATTGAGCCTTGCTAATAAGAAAATCCAAAGAGCCTTTCATCCTATCAGCAATAATTTTACTGATACATTTCAGCAAACGGTAGGATGAAAATGAAACAGGTGCATAATATATTGTGTTCTTTTATGAAATAAATATATGATGAAACGGGTGCATGTTATATTTTGTTCTTTATGGAATTAATGTTAATGTGAAAAAGTTTCATTATAAAATGGTTCATTGATGTTATATTAATGTTAACTTTTGTTTATGGAATTAATGTTATATTGATGTTAACTTTTGTTTATGGAATTAATGTTATATTGATGTTAACTTTTGTTTATGGAATTAATGTTATATTGATGTTTACTTTTGTTTACCAATTTGCCCTTATCATTGAAATAAAATAATTTTTTAATATTTTTTATTTTTTAATTTCCTAAAATAAAGTAAACTAATCTTAGCCATTGATCAAGAAAATGGACGGATGAGATTGGTTTACACGGTTTACACAAATGGGGCAAGTTTTTATTTGAACGCTCCTCTCTCTCTCTCTCTCTATATATATATATATATATATATAATTAAAGAGGTTGAAGTAATAAGACAAAATAGGAGTCAACATGGAAAAGGTGGCCTGATGGGTCCTTATGCGCCAAGGGGCGCGGCCCTCCCATGGAGGTGCGTAACGTCAATGACGGGTCCCCTCACATGTCACATCGTCAGTTTTTTGACTTTTCTAGAGAATGGTGGGCCTTTACACGTCCATACGAGAGAAATGAGAAATTCATGGTTATTTTTTTAAAATGTATTAATTTGGGGTTATTTGTGTAATTTTTTTTGAAAGACTATTTCGGTGAAGAACCCGGATGCAAATAGCATTCTACATTCTAAAACAATCAACACCCCTTATCAAGAAGTGCCATTAGCACTCTCGGTTGATATTTAGTAGAAGGGTGTTAAATGATTGAGAATTAAACCCATCAATTCACTTGATAAACCATCAACTCAATCATATATATGTTTTATTTAGTAATTTTTATTTTATATATTCATATTAAAAATATATGTGTTTTATTATTTTTGTTTTATTTTTATAGTTTGGTTTTATATATATTATGATTTTTCTATTATTATTATTATATATTTATTTACATATTATTTTACATATTATTACGATTCTTACATATATATTATTATATATAATCACCTCTTATTTATTACATTTTTTTACTTCTTCAAATCTACACTCTATACATATATACATCTTCATTTTCTTCACCTCTTCATCTCTTATCTCTTCATTTTTTCTTCATATTAATTTTCTTCATCTCTTATCTCTTCACTTGTTCAACGTATTTACCGCTTATGTCTACTCTGCCACCGTGGTATCAACATATTGCTTTTGCAATTGGGAGAGTCGGCCTTGGCTATAGGCCGTGAGGGTGACAACTATGGGCAACAAATCTTTAAAAGGCATCATCCTAATCCATTTTTCACCAAAAGTAGATTCAGTTGAAGAAGAAAAAAGAACATGTTTTCATTTTTCATGTCCTAGATGTGCTCTCGCTCGATCTGCATCATGCCATCATCTCAATATCATATGCGGTATACCATCTTCTCGATTTTGATTTGCCATCTGCCCTCTCTCTTATTCTTGATTTAGATTTTCCATCTACCTTCTCTGTTATTCACGATTCAGATTGTCAATCTGCCTTCTCTTTTAATCACGATTCTGATATACCATATGCCCCCTAGATTTGAATAGGCGATTATGCTCTAGTCCAGGTAAATAGATTAGGAATAAATTTTGTTATTTGTTACTTTTTATAACTCTGCTTTATTATAATTTTTACTCTTTCACTCATTTGTATTGCACAAAGTTGAGTCTTGTTTTGCTTACATTTTTTCGTGATGTTTGTTTCAATGTGAAATAAGAAACATCAATTTTCTTAAGTCCTGTTATGAATATAAGTTTATGTTAAGTTCTGAAATCTTCTTGAAATATGAGTTGAATATGTGTTTTCATCAAGATAAAGAGATTTTATCAGGTAATCATAGTTGGGTGTTTATGGAAATATGGAATTTATGATTTTTCTGTAAATAGTTTGGGTTTTGGAAATATTGTTGAAGTATGAGTTGGATATGTGTTTTAATAAAGATAGAGAGCTTTATCAGGTAATCCAGGTTGGTGTTTATGGAATTTATGATTCTTCTGTAAATTGTTTATGGCTTTTGGAAATCTTGTTGAAATTGTTTGTGTGTGGCCTTAGGGCTGCACCGATAGCAAAGCAAAAACCAAAACTTGGGGTGTAGATTAATTGTTATTTAGAGTCAATTTTAACTCAACAATTAATTTCTTTCAAATTTCATTGTTCAAAGGTCAATTTCAACTCAGTTAGAGTGGTAACTTCCATCACTTATGTGTTAACATATCTTGCATTTTTCTCATCCATTAAGTTCAAAGTTCACATTGTTTTGTCTTGTGCATATCTTGGTGATTTGGTGCAAGTGTTTAGAACTTGCCTTTGGGTGCTACTATACATATTTATAGTCAGTTCATGAAGTTGACTCCATTCAATAAAGATAGTGAAACAAATGAGGATATATAATATGCAACTACTTAATTGATCTCTTGTTTAGATATAAGAATGGTAATGGTTCTTCTTTCTTGACCTTCTAGCTACATAAGGGTATTCATTTGGGTGGTCTTACCAACTATTTAATCTAGGATCTTGGCATACCTACCAAGATCAATTCAAACAATCAATAGAAAGATTTCTTCTGTAGGATGAAACATTAAATTTTATTGTTCAAATTCCTAAAAACTGAGTGTAGAAATGGAGATTGCTACTGATGAGATATTCACCCTTATATGCAAGACACATAGAAAGGAAACTTAGATACTACCTGTAAGTTCTCTTTTCATGATTGTTAGTTGTTGTTGCTTATGCTCTTGTTTTATTCACATAGCTAGAATGCTACTAGAACTTTAGAGGACAGATCTAACATTTTTAATTTGTTAAATTATTTTTTAATACTCATCCATTTTGACTAGGTTCCAAACCCCTTGAAGCTAAACATTTCTTTTGCTTTTTTCTTTACTAAGGGCATTTTTTGAGCTCTCCGCCATGGGCATCGGGAATTTCAGGACCGACTCTGGCAATTAGGTATGTTAATGGTAACCATTATGTGAAACTAGACTTCGCAGAAGGATACCCGATCCTTGTTATTACAACATATTTTTTTTCATTTATGTTATATGTGTGTTGCTACATTGACTACCCCGTATTTAGAACGAACAAAAAAAGTACACACAACTTTTACGTGTTAATTGTACTACAAATAGTATTCTTTTAGAATAAGTGAAAATATAATATGAATTATGTCTTATTTATATGTCAGATCTCAGTTTTTATGTTTTATTTTTATAATTATATATTTATTAGGAAAATAATAGTAATGCTTATATTAATATATATAGAAT